CGTACGAACATGAGAAGTTGTACGTATTCATTTTACCCGAGAAAGAAGATACATTTGTACTAGAATATGGGGCGATATTGCACGAAACAGAATGATATCAATTTAATTCTTGACGAGCGCTGTGAAAAGTTAAATAAAAACGGAAACAAAGAAAATTAAATTCACCCCAATATTTAATATATGTTCTTCTTTATTGTCATATGGAAATGTACAGCAAAAAAGTTCATCATGTTGTCTGATTATGAGTCTATCTATATTTCCATTAAATGATTTGATAGTAGTTATTAAGAACATTTTCGTATGTTTTTTATCGTAACCAATTTCTTTATTCTATTTGCTAGGTTAAATGGTGCATTTATCAGTTCACTGATATATCTGTTTAGTGAGTGATTACAAACTGTTTATTGACGGTAGCACACTCGCTGTCTATATATGTATATCCGCAACGGAAACCCAGAGAATGTGAAAGTAGATTGGTATAATACAGACTTAAAATACATTTCCAGAAATTTCCATTTCTTCAATGGATGTTTTCTAAACGAATGATCTCAGAGAAAATCGATAATTTATCTTTATGTTCCACATTGCCATTTTCCAGTATACACAGAGAAATAACAAGGTAAGTTTCATTTTACATATTGAGTTTTTAGGTCATCTGACCCGAAGGGTCCGATGACCTATAGTCATCATGCTTCGTCCGTCGTCGTCCGCCGTGCGCCGTCCGTAAACTTTTCATTCAAACGACTTCTTCTCAATAATTGGAAGGCCCAGGCAACTAATATTTGGCCTGTAGCTTGCTTTGATGAAGCCCTACCAAGTTTGTTAAAAAGAATGACCTTGACCTTCATTCAACAAAATGTCTTAAAATCTTCAAACGACTTCTTCTCAATAACTGGAGGGCCCAGGCAACTAATATTTAGCCTGTAGCTTGCTTTGATGAAACCCTACCAAGTTTGTTCAAATGAATGACCTTGACCTTCATTCAAGGTCACAGGGGTCAAATGTCTTTAAATCTTCAAAGGACTTCTTCTCAGTAATCAAAAGGCCCAGGCAACTAAAATAAGGCCTGTAGCATGCTGGGATGAAGAACTACCAAGTTTGTTCAAATGAATGACCTTGACCCACTTTAAAGGTCACAGGGGTCAAATATGTTAAAATCTTTAAACAACTTCTTCTCAATAACCAAAAGGCTCAGATTGCTGATATTGTGCCTGTGGCATGCTGGGATGAAGGGCTATTAAGTTTGTTTAAATGAATGACCTTGAACAACTTTCAAGGTCACAGGGGTCAAATATGTCAAAATCTTTAAATAGCTTCTTCTCAAATACTAGAAGGCCTAGGGGGCTAATACTTGGCCCATAGCATGCTGGCATGGAGCCCTACAAAGTTTGTTCAAATGAATGACCTTGGCCCACTTTCAAGGTCACAGGGGTCAAAAATGTTAAAATATACAAAGGACTTCATCTCAATAAGCAAAAGTCTATGAGTGCCGATATTGGGTCTGTAGCATGCTGGGAGGAAAGGCTACCAAGTTTATTTAAATGAATGACCTTGAACAACTTTCAAGGTCTCAGGGGTCAAATATGTCAAAATCTTTAAATAACTTCTTCTCAAATACTAGAAGGCCTAGGGGGCTAATACTTGGCCCATAGCATGCTGGCATGGAGCCCTACAAAGTTTGTTCAAATGAATGACCTTGGCCCACTTTTAAGGTCACAGGGGTCAAATATGTTAAAATATACAAAGGACTTCATCTCAATAAGCAAAAGTCTATGAGTGCCGATATTGGGTCTGTAGCATGCTGGGAGGAAAGGCTACCAAGTTTATTCAAATGAATGACCTCAACCCATTTTAAAGGTCACAGGGGTCAAATATGTTAAAATATACAAACGACTTCTTCTCAACAAGCAAAAGTCCATGAGTGCTGATATTGGGCCTGTAAGATGCTTGGAGGAGAGGCTACCAAGTTTGTTCAAATGAATGACCTCAACCCACTTTCTAGTTTGGCTTGCTTTTTGTCAGATGACCGTTAAGGCCCATGGGCCTCTTGTTTTTTCAATATTTTGAGTTCAAAATTAGAATATGCATGGCTGATTAGCAGGAGCCATAACATTTTAAGATTTAGAATCGACAAATCATAGCTTTATAGAGAGCTTTATGAAGCACACCAAGATCCTCGGAGGAAAATTGATACAATTCACACGTGTTGCACTACAAACAATCGAATTTCTCTAAGTAAATAAGATCCTCGTGAATGTCAGACATTGAGTTGTTATAAAGAAAGTCAAGGTGTCTACAGAAACGTATGTGTTGGTTTACACGATTTAGAATTTCTTTGTCATGAATAAAAAACACATGTAAAGCATTTAAGCATTGAACTGAATTAATTTAACAATCCATCAATTTGAAGCTGTTTATTGTTTATATTTACCATTTGATTTCAATCTTCAATTTGCTTAAATTGATGAAATATTTCTACGGTGTTGGCAGTTCTTAAGCTGGTAATACACAACTGACTTTGGTAAGGTTATTTATAGTAATGGCATGGAATGATAAATATAAAGCTCGCGTCATTAGGTCGGTATATAGTTCATAATCAGCACAGAACAACCATTTTATGAACGATATTGTGACAAATAAAAGAAAAAACCTTTGTGTTACATCCTCCTTCAGACGTCATAAACCGGAAACTTATTCACATTATGCTACAATCAACTGACAAGCGAAAATTACAGACTTTTAACACCTATAAAAAATCCGTTCACCGTTATTGAAATATTTTCTGAAAGATAAGTGCCATTATATTTTTTCGTAAAAAGATGGAAGTATGTATTTAAATCCCCGGGGTAACAGTAATGAACAAAATCTGTGACCTTAAATCGTTTGAAACATAGTCAGCCAATCATTGTCCTGCATATAAATCGGTATTGTTTATTGTCGGGCGGCATACTTGTCTATCCCAGATTTCAACCCCGTCCAAATTTGCCACTGTAATTCGTAAAACGAGGAAATGTCTCTCGTTCTTTAGATCAATGATATTATTTTCTCTCATTCTCATTTCTGCGAAATCCTTGAAAGAGTCCCCCTTTACAACAAACATGTGTTACGTAATGACCTGGCAACTGGTATGAGTGTTGAAAGGTGTTCATGATAAAACTGTCATTTTGATAATTCGCACACAGCTTTGTATACCACCATGTACATATCGATTTGTTTTTTCCTGAGTTTGTACAATTAATGTGCATTAATGTGCATTCGGTAGAAAAAAAAAACGAAATGTCTTTCTTGAATTACATGGATATTGTTCTTTTCCATGCATTTTTTTCTTAATTCCGCGAAATCAAGAAGGTTTCCGTAAGGAGATAGATACTTTACTTATATCAAACACATTCACATATATTGGGCATGTGTTGTCCGAGAATGTCATTCATTTTCCTCAAACTGAAATCTCTATACTATGTGACGCTATGTTGACTGATCACGGCATTTAAATGCTACGATTTCAGTGACATCAATGTTTGATTCAGTTAACTGTTATACATTGTAGCAATGTATAGGGTTAGATTTAGGCTTTCTATCAAAGTGCAGCCTTGTCGTCTTTATCTGATACAGACGATGAGAGACGTTACAGTATTTAGCCGAGACACATAATAAAGGTATAACTAATTGTTATAAAACTCACAAGAAGGAGACTATAGAAGTTTTAATATACTCTGTTGTAGACAAGGTCGGGTGCGATGTAATATACTAATTTTTACACCCGACTGCGAAGAAGGAAACTTAAAAAAAATCTGTTGAAGCGTTCATCAACAACGATAAAGAGTTCCTTCAAAAAGAAAGTTAATGAAATATGTGTTAAGTGGCTGCAATACCTTCCAAGTGATCATTCCTGATAATAACTTATTGTTTCTGTTATGTCAACTGACTGATATATATTAGGAAATTATAAATTGATTTTTTACCGCGTAAATCTAGAAACAAAACGTCCTTTGTTCACAATAATATGTCCTCGCAACGGGAAGTTGTTTGAAGACGGATTTTCCCAATGATGGGGCCACGTACGTGTTCTTTACTGAAAAAAAAAGTTATAACATTAGCATAATAACCATCCCACATTCTTTCCATTCCGTTAACGTTGACCTGTGTCAAGCAGACAGACGCATCACAGTGTAAAAGAATAGAACCCACAGCAACACATCCACGCTTAGGCGGAGGTATGTTCTGTGTGACGGAGTCGTATCACGGTGTAATAGAATAGAACCCACAGCAACACATCCACGCTTAGGCGGAGGTATCACGGTGTAAAAGAATAGAACCCACAGCAACACATCCACGCTTAGGCGGACGTAATGTGTAGTTATTATTAAACATCTTAATCTTCTGTGTGACGGAGTCGTATCATGTTTTCACGATTTTAGATAATGCATCTCTGGAATTTGTTCACTCAGTATACAACATATATTGCATGATGTTCTACCAAACATTACAGACAAGAAATAAAGTCTAGTACCAATCCTGATCCTGCGAAATATACGGTTCATTCTCAGTGATCTACATATATTGAGTAATTAAGCATATTGACACGAAAAAAATATCTTCAAGTAATCCATCTGTTCGTTTTGATTGTCTTTCTGTAGGCGGTTTAGGTTACGGAATAGCCTTACCATTTCGTACAGTTGCGAAATACGTTTACGTAACTCACACAGATATATATTTCCAAAATGTTAAAAGACAAAACTCCGTCGGTCAGGGAGCATTTACAAAAGGTAGAAGTGATGTTATTGACTATAATGGTAGTCTGCATTAGGTACATAGACATTTCATTTGAAAGACTCTTACATGGGTACTGACACATGTAGGTCATGGCTATGTGTTGTGTAACTTTGCTTGCTAATCATGATATAATTGAAATGATTTTTGGGAGATGGTATCTTTTTCAATAGCAGCTTTTCAGTTGGTTTGATGCCTCGTAGCAAGAGAATGTAACACATACACACGTTATGTATACCATTACTGCAGCTTTCGGTTTCATATGTGTATCAAGTAACAGTCCAGTTCAGGGAAGAAAACTCGATTTAGGTTAGTCACCAAAGATATTAGAGGACCCCGTGATTAAATACACTGTAACAATAAGGAATATTAGTGTATAGTCTATATATATCCTGATACCCGTCAACAATTTACATCCCTTTGTTAATGTTTTATGGTGATTGATATCACGGAACTTTCTGAGATACACATCTCTAACGCTAAGTAATCTAGTAATATAGAGAGTCAGGTTACGTCATTGTCCTCAGCTGATTTCCTTCCTGTACCATATCTGACGCCGGACAACTAACAACGATACAAATCAGAGTGTTTACTATGACGTACTGATCTAATGTATATATCAAGATTAACTGGTGTGTGAAATACAAAGTACTTTTATCATGTTCATTAACACTTATACACATAATTACGTGAAATATGAAGTACTTCATATTATGTTGACGAACACCTTTTCACCTAATTGTTTGAATTACTAAGTACTTATATTATGTTCATCAACAATTACACACATAATTGTATGAAATACCAAGTACTTGTATCATGTTCATCAACACTCCTACAGATTAATGTGTGAAATACGAATTATATATATAATATTCATCAACACAAAGTACTTATATAATGTTCATTAACAGGTATACAGACTATATTTGGGAAATACCAAGTACTTACATAGTGATTATCAATATTCATTAACAATATTTACTAATGTGTTATATTGTATGTACTGGTCTGATATATGTAAACAACATTAATATATATATATAATGTGAATTGTACGTAATGTATATTGTAAATAATTTATGTTTTAAGGTTTGAACACAGACATGAATACCCTAACACTGGAGCAGATAGAAGATAGATTTTTGGTGTCAAGGAAGACCGGATTCTTAATAGATTGTTCCCATGTACGTTGATTTCAAACTATTTCATGTTTTTCTTTTTATTGAAATTAGAACTGCGACTACTTTAGTAATTTAATATGCATGATTGTTTTATATTTTATATACCTTATGCACCTGTAACTTGAAATGATATTTTTAGTCAAGATAGTATAGTTAAGGATGAATTAATGCGGCAAGATAAATTAATAAAGATATAGAAATACGCATGATATAAATTTCAATTAAATTTATTTTATATTCATATGTAAATATGGCGACAACCTAGGTAGTCGCTTTTTCAATGACACAAATCCTCATGAAATGTCTAGCTCTATGTTTAAAACATTCGGTTTGGAATTGGAAAATGTAATTTGAATAACTGGCTAGCATTGTTTGCTTCCTTTCATAGAAATGAAGGTCGTGTTACTATTAAACACTACCTGCTACAGGTCTTAATGATTTGCTAATTTTAGAAGATGCTCTGTGTACTCTCTCATTATTTGTGTAAATCTGTAAAAGTAATATTTTGTCTTGTTGAAAATTGTGAAAAATGTCTTATTTTTCATTGAAAATTACACTTTTATCAATGTGATCTTTCTCGATTTTTCACGGGTAAATAAGTAATATAATGTGACTTTAGTGTATCAATTATTTAACACATCAAACAAACCGACCCAGCAAATGTTTAACATCCATCAGGTTAAACTGGAGAAATGCTGGGGTCCATTCGAGGAAGTTGCTGAACAACTGACCAAGAACGTGGAAAACAAGATAATACGACAGAAGATTGAGAAGGTACATTGTTATTCAAATTTTCCCGGTTAAAGCTTATGATAGATATTACATATATGTGATATAAGATACAAATAATAACAAGTGTGGCGTCAGTATGTTCAAGATTAGCCATGGCTCTCGAAGATAGGTAACACATTAAAAAATCATGGAAACTGAGTTAAATAAACACCAAACTGGACGAATACATCAAGATTATCACAAACTGATTATGACTTATTCAATGTCGTATCTTCCTATTTATTCAACTTGTATAGTTCTATTAAATTGTCATTAACAAAAAAAATATGCCTTTTGGGGAAATTAACTTTCATTTACATATCGCAATAAACATTTGGAAGTATACTTTAGAGTGGAAACACTATAATTTAGCATAGTTTTGAAAACCACTAAGAGACTTATAGGAGCAAATTGCAGCTTCCGACAACACAAGCATTCAAGACATATGCTTACTTTGCATACTTAGTGAATGCATCATGAAAGAAGTCTGTTGCTGAAAGAAAGTAAAGCAAAATGAATAAAATATTTTTCATTCTATATAAAGGTAGTACAAAAGACACGAGTGAATAGCACCTCTTGATACAAACTTAGAGTTTGATGCAGCAGAGCCAAACAATGAATTAAACTGCATCATACAATAGTTTCGTCCTTCTAAGACTCGTCAGTGATGCTAAGGGCCTAAAGTTTGAAGCCTTGGAGGCGATTGAGGAAAATCCAAAGTGATCGAAAGAAAAGTATAAACCTGAACGGGGAGGTGCACTTGGCTCATAATTGAATAAATCTAATCTTAAAGATGATAAAAAGTGTTTATTTCTCATTCTGAATAATAAATAATTATGCTTTATACAATGCAAATCTAATGATATAAATTCTTGCAGTAAAATAAAAATCATAATTGGTGGACCTGTGTTCTGTATTCAATGCATCTTTAGCATGAAATATTGCTGATTAATAATCTAGACCCACTGAAAAATCGATATCAAACAGAATCAATTTCAGATTTTTATTTATAATCAAGGATTCATTGCAATGCCTTCTATTTCAACTGTTTGTAGCTTCTTTTTCTTCTTTTAAGTTGTAGTTGAGAGTCTACTTCGTCTTTTGATGTCGTTGAGGTTGATTTATTATTTTATGTCTTGATTCCTGTTTCTTTCTTCAACTTCCTGAAATAAGGTAGCAGATGTTGAGCCATTCTGACTCAGAAACGTAACATGACAAATACCAGTTTAGGGTAATTTGTGAATATGTAGCCTTGTTGTCAATTTGATTGTTTCCTTCCATACAGAAAATTAAAATTTTCAGTTTACAAACTATTGGTACTTAACTTACGAACAAAGCCGTTCGGCATGTAAAGTATTCTTACTAATTCTTGGGATTAAACCTCAAAAATACCTGTAATATATCCTTAAACAAAAATAGATATCTTATCGTAATGTTTCAATCACCTATATATTGTTACGAAAATTGTCAACATTTTCTGTGTAGTTAGCACTAGATTTAGAATAAGTCGATCTTTCGGACATGTATCTATTTACAAGAGTTGAGTCGCTTGTTTAAGTTTGCTTATATACAGTGTGATGACACCAATTATTTACATTTTAGCTAAACGGCGAACATGTCATTCCTGAAGACAAGTTAGAACAGATATGCTTACACAAGATACTGTCATTTTTGTCTGCTGGATACATTTGGCAGGACGGGGAGGAAACCGTACCAAAGGTATTTAAGATAGTTAAATATAACGACATTATGAAGTCGTCTGCCAGTGTAGTACCAACAATCATGAATATCGTCTTCAAATGACCCTGGCTGTTTGTAAGACAAAAAATCAAAACCAACAACCGTACTTTACAACTTATGCAATGCGGATGAATCACCGAAAACAGGATAGATATATATGTTAATTTGATGAAATTTTATTGAAGTTTTGTCTGATACGTCCCAAAACTTTCTCGTTCTCGAAACATTCACGACTCGTTGCAGTATCTAATTGAATAAGAAAGGAATTTAGAATCTTTTGGCAGATATATTTCGTAACATTATGAATACGTTTAAACATACTTGTGTACTATAAATATATTTTTGTTTGTACTAGTCACGTGTATTATGACCTATCTACAAAGTCCTCACATAAAAGATGGAACATTAAGTTCACATCAGGATTTTTGGTCACTAACTGAACATAAAACAACTGATACTAACTCATCAAAATCATAACCTGGAAATGCATCACAGTAACAATGAATGTGTACTTAAAACATTAAATCTAGATTGCAATCCAATGTATTAAATGGTTAAAGATTCGTCTGATTGATATAAAATGTGCATTAAGCCACGAAATGATAACTAAAAAAAGCGGAAATACCAACAAATCAATATAATCAAAATTGGAATTCATATTCAATAACATTAAGGCAAAAAATCGTCAAAAAAGAAAAACATTACACGGAGACTATTTAAAAAATGCGAGGAGAATAAGAACAGATGTTCCAGAAGAGAAAGTGTCTTCTGCTTCATCGACGTCAGCCGTCATGTAAATCTTTGTCAATCCAAGAAACTTGTCAAATGAGAACAAATCATATAAAACTGGAACCTACAGGTAAAACTAACAAGCATACAAGATGTCCTGCTTCATACACAAAAAGAAAATATTATTTCTCAATGATGTCATTGTGACTACCCTTAAGTTGCCTCAAAATTTTCATCTATCTGCATCTTTTAAAACCGACCCAAAACCGTAATAATGGCAACGGGCCCTTAGATATCGAATTAGTTGTGATATGCAAATACCATAAGTTGGATATGCAGGAATGTTGCTATTCAGAAATGGAGAGTTCCTAATAGAGAAGTTGAAATTAACACGCCTATCATATAATTTGGTGGAAAACATGTTCATGCTGGTTTCTTTATATGGTAGGTGTTTTTTTGTTTACACAATTGAAGGATGACATCTTTCATTCCAGAAACTTCCCAAGTGTCTGTCGTTCCCACTTAGACGTGTATCAGATGCCCTAGGGATGCAGCCAATTTTAAGTTACCCAAGCATGATTCTAGGCAATTGGCAAATTGGAGACCCCAATGAGTATGTATATTTCTTTACATAATCTATTATTTTTCCATATACTTTTGAATGCTGTGTAGTACATTATGCCAAAAGGATGAAAATTGTGTTTAGAAAAGCACTGACTGAACATACTAACTTACGATATTCACGAGTTTTTTCATCTTCGTTTCAGATCTTTCGAGTTCCGGTAAGTCACTTATTTCATAAGTTATGTATACTTGAAATTACCTTAAAATTCCAAAGAATGAAGAACAGACAATTGAACAGCTGATTTCGTTGACTTAAAGCTAGATAGTGAGATATTAAAGTATCGTCTATCTTTAAAACAGGAATCTAAACGCAATGTATCAGACCCCGGGAGGTGACGGTGCAGAATGGTTTATCCTTACTCATGTCATCATCGAACAAAGGTTTGCACCGGCATTAGAGGTAACTAACAACAAATTAAGATACGAACACTATCACTTTGTACGTTCACTATCACATTGTACGTTCCCTATCACCTTTTACGTACACTATCACCTTGTACGTACACCGTACACTATCACATTGTACGTTCACTATCACCTTGTACATACACTATTACCTTGTGCGCACACCATTATCTTGTACTTTCCCTATCACATTGTACGTTTCCTATCACCTTGTACGTACACTATCACCTTGTACAAACACCATTATCTTGTACTTTCCCTATCACATTGTACGTTTCCTATCACCTTGTACATACACTATCACCTTGTACACACACCATTATCTTGTACTTTCCCTATCACCTTGTACGTTTCCTATCACCTTGTACGTACACTATCACCTTGTACGTACACTATCACCTTGTCCGTACACTATCACCTTGTACGTACATTGTCACCTTGTACGTTCCCTATCACCTTGTACGTTCACTATCACCTTGTACCTACACTATCACCTTGTACGTACACTATTATCTTGTACGTTTCTTATCACCTTGTACGTACACTATCAACTTGTACGTACACTATTATCTTGTACGTACACTATCACCTTGTCCGTACACTATCACCTTGTACGTACATTGTCACCTTGTACGTTCCCTATCACCTTGTACCTTCACTATCACCTTGTACGTACACTATCACCTTGTACGTACTATATCACATTGTACGGACACTATTACCTTTTACGAACACTGTACACAATCATTTGGACATGTACTTCCATTTTGTATGTACATAATCATCTTGCACGTACATTAACATAAATACAGTTTTCCTCTGAGTTGTATGATACGCGTGATGATTTCAATTATCCTGTTGTGAATTTTCCATTTCTGCATTGCAACCATCCTCCATCCCCAACATATGATGTTGACATGACGAAGTTGATTGGATATCGAAAAGCCTGTTCTCATTATCAGGATTTTCGTTTAAAACAACGGAACTACCATTAATACAATATAGTTGTTTTCTGTTTCATACCTCTCCATCTGTTTATATATATATGTCAACACTAGCTTTCACTGATTTTAAGCTTTCCAACTCGACTGACATATCTTCATATCTTAGGCCACAAGCAACATTCACTAGTCAGCTGATGTTACATTGGATATATTACAAAGAATTGACAGATGTTATCATATTGTGTCACTTTTGTGAAATCCAGACACTAATGCATTATACAAAAATAATGAACGCTTTCTATGTATGTTTAGGCTATCGTTGACGCCATGAAGTATTCAACACCAGGTTCCGATGATAACATAGAACTGACAAGAGCCCTTAATGTTATACCAGTCGTGATGATTGACATGATGAAAGCATTCAAACAAATCAAAGGTAAATACGAATTTGTTACTACATGGTGTAATAAAGAAACAAGAGTAGCATCCGATTTGAAAGAAATCTAAAAGATACCTTAACGCCAGAGAAAAAAATGGTCAGTAGCTGAATAGTATTATTGGTACTGAACCAAATTTTGTCTCAGAAGTAAAGCCAGTGTGCTGAGTAGGTGGACTAAATAATTCGCAAAATTAAGGATGAGTCGCTGCATTACAATTCTGGGACGAAATCAGCTGTGATTGTGACATGATTCATTTCTTATACAGTTCATTATTTTAAAGAATAAACAATTTTCTGTCCCATTAAACTTCTTTACCTGTTTTATCACCTGGATTCTTTTACAGACGGAGTACACCCAGAGCAATTCTATGATGAACTGCGGATATTTTACACGGGGTAAGTGTTGCTTGTTGCCACAATGAATTTCATTTTATCAAAAGATCCTGTTTTTGTTTGACATACGATGCCCAGTATCAAATTAATGAAATACCTTATTTTGCTTATATGCATACCGTATATTCAAAGTGACAAGTGCTTGATTACATACGAAACATATTAATCTATGCTATCTTCTTTCCCTGATATTTTTCGTTCTAACTTGGTCGAATATATATTTCTTACTCCTGTGAGTGAGGTTTCCACTGACCTATGATATAGTTTGCATTATGACAACAGTGATCAGCAGATTTCAGTAATCATTACATAATGTGCTATGTCCTCCTTCTTTAGCTGGGGCGGAGGAAAGGAGCCGCTCCCCGAGGGTCTCATTTATGAAGGAGAATATGACGACAAACCACAATCGGTTCGTATATCATACAGTTGCGAATGTTTATGGTTATGGTTATCAGACATCTAAGCTTTATAATGTAAAGGAAATATGATTATACACTAAACTTAGTAGATACTGCTGGTAGCTTATAAGTCCCCAAGAAATGCCGTAATCTTCTTGACTCTGTTATAAAATTATCTGATGTATGGCAACTGCAATAGTTATTTAATTATGGAGCTGATGCACCTCCCCGTCTCGATTTTATCTTACTTTTCATCGATCGTCTCCTAGGCTTCAAAATTTAGGCCCTTGGAATCACTGGCGAGTCCTAGAAGGACGAACCAGCTGTTTGCTGAAATTTACTTATTTAATTAGCTCTACTGTATCTTACTCTAAATTTTAAAAAGGCGCTATTCATTTGTGTGTCTTTTGTACGATCTCATGATAATGTAATAATTCAAGATGTACTTCAGCATAAATACTTTATACGATGTCCTTATTAATCATTTTCATTGACAGATGAAAGGTGGAAGCGCTGCTCAAAGCACAACCTTACAGATACTGGACGCAGCATTAGGAATCACACATGACGGGGGTATGTACCATGTTAGTTTCTGGATTTGTTGATATCTCTCTCTCTTAACACGATAATTTATATAGGTAGTCGTAAACTCAAGAAAACAATAAACAACCTTCCGATGTTGCAGAAAATTCTTCATTCTATTATAGATCAAAAAAAGTTTCTTGACGAAGTTAGAGACTACATGCTGAGAGAACATCGTGAATTTTGTTCCTATGTGTGGAGAAACAGTAACATCAGGCGTTACGGTAATGATTTCATTGATATATATGTCTGTTCTGTTACGTCACATTTTACATTTGCCTTGTATATGAAGCAGGTGTAACATATGATGGTTTATTTATGTCACATAAAACCTGCTGGGAATGCATTAGGTGATTTGTATGTCTTGCTGACTATTTAGATTCTGATTTTCTTGTCTGATCAACATTGTTATGATCATAATTAGGCATATAAGTAACATTCTGTTTTGTTAACATACTGAACAGAATTTTGTAAAATTCGTAAGTAATCTTACTAAGTCTGTAGTTAATTGGAATACAATTTCTATTTAACTCTGTTTAAAATCGTAAGAACTGATGAGAAATTATTTCAGCTGTGCTTTTTCTAATAGTGGAGCGTTGCAATTGCGAGGATGTGAGGAAAGCTTACAATAAATGTATTAATGCGGTCCGGGGCTTCCGAGGCCTTCACAAAGACAAGGTGAATGAGTAAGTATATCGCGTCCCACATAGTTATTGTTTGATAATGATATCATAAAAAAGTTAGTCAGATATGATATGATATAGCATTGAAAATGTTATCAATGCGTTATTGCATCATTGCAACATTCTATCAAGGCTGATATATTCTTATCCTAAAACATATTAAATATATGCTAGTAACAATGAAAGTAATCTTCCAAGAACTTTATATATTCACAGTTATATACGAAAACCTTCTGAGAGGAAAGATCGAAACAAACAAGTAGAAGGAATAAAAGACACCGGAACAGGCAGCACACGTATGTCTTCAATACACGAATACTTAAAGTAGTTTCCTTCTATATTCAATGAAATATCGAAGAAAAATGTTAAATGTGTTTCGAGTTATGAATGGTTAAAACTAGTATGTTAAAACTAAAACTTTGAAAGTTTAGTAGACTGATTTTGTTCACCTGTATCATGTCAGGATGATGAATTATCTAGAGTATGTGATAAGAACAGTAAATAAAATGTATCTATTTGTGTGTATGTCTGACTAGTACTACTTCTATTACAGCCTACCTTATATTCCTGAACAAAGTCAACGAGGATGCTGAGAAGTGCAATTTACCGTATTGAAAAACAATATCGAGTTCCGGTCTTTTACAACGCCCAGTTAAAATCATGGAAACGAACAAGAAGGGCATGTTCAAGACCTCTAACATCAGGATTCTAAGAAAATACAGAGCATTGTCATTTTAGACTGACGTAGAATCAGACTAGACTGTCTTTCCGTTAGTTTTACATTGTCTTTAACAACCTCGTATTAATCAGATCGGAGCATATTGGTAACGACTATAAAAATAGTTAAAGACAACCAATGACTGTGTGTTTCATAATGAAGCATTGTTATCCAAGGCTGCATTTCAAAGGTTTTTAACTGGTAACCCGGTTAGACAGAGAATTATATTTATATAACTGTATATATCACTGTCCTAGGCATACCTCTGTCGTATCGGTTATCAATAGACGACAAATCATTTGTTTGTAAATTCGTTTTCAAAATATTGACAATCTACATGCTGTTCTAGCCACACCTGTGTTTTACAGGTAAATTATAATCACTATATGACGTTTATGTATTCTCTGCCTACAAATGAATATATTCAGTTTATTAATTTATATTTGCAATTAGAATATTACCTACGTGCTGCTACGACCTTGTTTGAGCTGAAGCGGCTGGGCAATTTACTGGTATTATACGACATTCACGTTTCTCTCAAATAAAAAATATTGTCTATTAAGTTTATTTTTGTAATAAATATACATAATATATATATAAACAAGCCCGTTTTTGTTGGGTCCTTATTCCAAAGAGTCAAAGACATATAGAACTGATGAATCACAAAGAAGAATAATACTTACAAAGTTGTTGAATGTTAAATAAAAGATGTCTTAAACCCAATATAAAATGTAGAAAGTTTAAGAGATCGGCTAATGTAGAATGTAGTTTAACGATGTAGTAAAACATGTATTACAATGATGAACATACATTCGTATAGCCCTGCAGTAAAATCAATGGCCTACTTGCTTAGAAATAGGAAATAGAAAATATAGAAATAAAGGCAGAAAGTAAGACGAGTACGCTGACAGGCCAAGTAAATCTTCCTTTCCTTATTTCCTGAAAGGAATTTTGCTCTCTCTCTCTCTCTCTCTCTCTCTCTCTCTCTCTCTCTCTCTCTCTCTCTCTCTCTATACATATATATATATATAATTTTAAAAGATAAAAACTTTGTGTATCTCTCTCTCTCTCTCTCTCTCTCTCTCTCTCTCTCTCTCTCTCTCTCTCTCTCTCTCTCTCTCTCTCTCTCTCTCTCTATATATATATATATATATATATATTATGCCTATTTACACAAATATACTCTGCGTCATCCAACATAGGTCAACCTTTCTTTCCAAAAACCGGTAAAACATTTCTTTTTATATAATTCGATTTCTATACCCGCTTTTGGAGTTAAAATTGCACCTTGGCGTTTTGGAATTTGTTTGCTAGTCACAAGACCAAGCCTATGTATATGATTATTATTAAATTAAGATCATGATTATCAGCGATTATGCAGGACGTGAATAGTTTTAAAAAGTATAGAACAGCGGTTTGATTTGTTTTCGATAACGTATTTGTGTATGATTCTATATAAAACGTGTGAAACAAAACGTTGAAAAAGTTAGGCCCACAATCTTATAAGCGAACAAAAGGTGTGCTGTTGTAAAATCGGGTGGCGATAAGTCAATATTATATTACAATTCTGTCTGACAGACGAATCGACGAGTAGACATTTCTGTATTGCTCTCGAGTCACACGATAAGCAGTAGCTAAACATAGGTAATGGAGAGTTACGAGGTCTTCCTGGTGTTGTTAAACGAAACCGGAAATGTACTTTCACATCTCTGCAAACAGTATAATCGGTCTTAATTTCAAAATAAATGTTGTGAGGTGTGCTTTTTATTTGTTTGATTCAATGAATTTGTGTCAAAGATTTTATAAAAATGGAAAAAATAGATGATTATCCCATAAAAACTGAACGATAAAGGAAACAATAATTGGTTTTCAAGGTAGGTTTACTAGTAAAAGAGACCAGATTTGACAACATAATTGGGAATTATTTCTTTAATTACTGAACATATTCATTTTTGGGACAGTTATTAATTATAATATGTATTTAAATTATATTTATGCGATTTGTACATATTCATTATGTTCTATAGGGATATTAACTGAAAAACAAATTAATTCCATAATATCGTCAAAATAACGAACAGCAGTTCATAAGCATGCACATGTATCTGTGTATATGACCCTGGTAGCGAAGTGATATGGCAACATGTGTGTTTTATGTATGGAGATTGGTGTAAGTATATCAATCGTTAAAATAAAAGTAATTTTATCGAGTTTATCCTATAAAAAATTGAAGGGATGGACTGCTTTAAGTCAGATGATTAGTCCTCAACCAAGAGACTTAAATAAATTGTTTAAAGAAAATTTTTATGTTACATGTATCTGTTTTATCTTTGTGTAAGAGCAAGGCTATAGGCACTCAAACTTTGTTAACAGAGTAAATAATCTGTGATCTGCAAGCAACTTTGACTCATATTTTTTTCAGTGTTTTCAGAGGTTTCCTTATTTAGAATCTATATTTTTGAGAACAAGACCAATCATTTGGTTAAAATTTTATGACCTTGATCCTTAACCTTTTAAATACATATTATTTTAGGGGTTTCATAGAACGATTTTCTCAAAATATGTTTGAACCGAATTGGGTATAGGGTATATTGCTTTACATCAAAAAGATCTCGGGTGACTTCGATATTGATCAAGATCTGTCGACATATATGTAATGGATGAAATTAAATTTACAAGTACAGGGGTTCTTTTCGTTTTTTTGTCCAACGTCTTTTCGCGGGCAACTAAGCGAAAAGATGAATTGTCACAAATAAGCCATCATATCAAGGATATGATTTAATATTTCTTCTATGAGAACATTTGATTTTTCCACAGCCCCAAACGTTCTCTTTTTATGAGAGCTTTCTTTTCCCAAAAAGGTGAACGTCGGTACAAAAATATGGTTGTTATCTATATTTAAGCGTATGGAAACTTTGTCCAAGTCAAAGGCGAAATATAAAGAGGACGAACTCCTAAAAGTGAAAGAGTTTCTGGTTGAGAACATCTGCGTCGATTTGGTGTCCAATAGATTACTGGAATACCTATGGAACGAACTGTACACCTCTGCTGGCTGACTTGTTTTTGATTTCATACGAGACTGAATTTATCAACTGAGGTTATCAAGCAAGGACCTCCTAACAACTTCACATTCAGATTAATTGATTATCTCATGTCTTTAACAGCCACATCCGTCGTATATACCTACCATAAACACATGACAAATTATCTGACAGTAGTTGCTAATTTAGATCATTTTATTCAACTAAACCAACTTGAACACTAAACTGTAAGCTAAGCGCGATGCATTTGGTTCCCCCACTGTGTATTTCCTTTTCTTGAAAGCACTATTCCTGCAAGCCAAATATATTGTGTTGATTCGGTATTCAAAGGTCTGCTCCATTTATCACTAATTTCATCCAAGAAGTCCGTCGACAATTTACTGAGAAACTTGTCACACAAGGTTTCAAAAGATGCAGGTTTGTGAAAATTATTAGGCAGATTTACGGTAGTCATAGTGAGTTTACTGAGAAATATTCTTTCTTTATGAGGCTAGATGTGCTTGATGCTTGTTAGTTTGTTACTTTGTTGTATACCTTGATCTCATTTGAGAATGTGATTTATTGGATTGACTGGGATTGACATGGCGAGTGTCGTCGATCAAGTAAAAGACTCTTACTCTATGTACTTTTACATGTGTCTCGTTGCTCTGTTCCCTATCAGGTTAACTGTTCCACACGATATGACAACAATTTTTATCAGAACACATTTCTCTTCAATGGGGCCTTCTTAAACAATTTAAAAGACGAAACCCGTCATGTAAACATTGGTCTAACCTAGTAAGAAATGCGATGCTCTCAAATGAGAACAAGGTCAATAATAATGGAGCCAACAGGCAAACTAAGGAGTATCAAACACATCCAGCTTCACAAAAAGAAATCGAATCCATCAATATCATATATTGTACATTATAATGTACATGTATTATCCATAAATATGTGTTACTCTTTGACATAAGCCTCATAACTCATTGTTTATTTCTTTATTCTGATGACTCATATAAACAATGTATGTTTGAAATGAAAATAATTTACTGCATTTTTGTCTGCAAACCGCAACATTGTCACAATGCACTATACACATGAATTCATATTTACAAAAAAACATGTAACCTACTACACATATGTGTCCATGTAGATATTTACTTTCAATATATCCAAAGCTAATGCTCTGTTTACAATTTTCATGATTTGTAGATATAATGAAACTTACTTAGTTATGTTCAGTAAACGATCATTCCCTTGTGAAAAATTCTCACTCCAATTCGGCCTCGTATCGCCATTAATCACTATGTAAACACACACATTATAGTCACTTTCGTACGATCAAATATGTTACTGGCTAAAGTGAGTGATCTATGCTTAATTATACTTTAGCGGTTAAAGGGAGAGTTATCGGTTTACCTGTGGGTCTACTTCTAGTATCCATATGCTTGATTGATGGAATTATGCTGTGTCTCTGTTTAACTGTAACCTGCCTGTCCTTTGTTTCCAAGTATCTGAAACGCATGCTTGTGAAATTATACGTGGAAAGATGTGTGGTTTTTGTTTTTTTAATTTTTTTTGTTTTTTGTTTTTTCCTCTATAATTTGCCATGCAGTCGTGCTCAACTGGATTTCATGTATATAGTTACGAAAACTATTTAGAACTGACAGATCGACAGTTTTACTAGAAGTGAAATTCTCATAGTATTTAGACGTGGTCATGTTTTGAAGGATTTCCGAGTTGGAATTTAATGAAATGTAGTTTGTTACCATGACAGTGTTGTTGATTTTAAGACAGGTGTTCAGAAATACATTTTTTCTATAAAATTGTAGAGTTAGTTTGGAATTAGCAGTAATTTTGCATTTTAAGTCATTCTTTCAGTTGCTAACCATAACAATCACATGTCAGAAATCAGAGGAAATTTTTTTATTTACACAAATTGTATCTCTCTACTTTCTCTCTAAAATCACTCACACAAATAACATCCATGTCACTGCACAAATTCACACTGTCAACACTAATAAGCCCGAGGACCTGATGACCAATTTCAATTACACAAAGCTTCACTACAATTTCGGAAAAGGTGTTTTCATACAGCACTAACATATTGTGATTGAAAACGATAACATTACTGAGCATCCGTTTTGCTTTATATCTGGTGATTCTATTGTCAATCTTCTTTTATTTATGTATAATAAATTTGTTGATTATACGGACAATGGAAAGAAACGTGTTCTTCGAGGTATTAGTTAGTCTTTTGGTAGAGTATTGAATGAAGGTCTTTTACTAAAACTGAAATCATATGGTATAAATGGAAAGTTACATTGCTGTTTTAAAAATTATTTTTTCAATAGAAAGCAAACAGTAGATACTGAAGGCTGCTTTTCCAAATTCATAAATGTAAGTAAAAGGTCACTCAGTGATTTGTCCTCCAACCATTACTACTTCTTATGTATATAAGTGATACCAATACTAATATTTCTATCCAAGTAAACGGTTTCAAGATGACACTTCGTTCTGCGTTATTTAAGATGATAACTCAGCACAGGCAGCAAAATCTCTTTCAATACAGATACATCAATCTGAGACATCAAACTTTATCGAAATGAAATTGAACTACTCATATTCTTTAGAAAACAAGACACTCATCAACCCCATGATCTTTCCAAAATAGCAAACATTACCTCAGTACTACAACTTTTATTGCAAACTGATGCAACATAGAAAACGCATAAACAGCGAAAAAGGTTAATTGTACACTACAGTCAAAAAGTCTATTGGAAGCAACTAGGATGGTACAAGCGCAGTCCTTGAATGTCTATGCTAATACTCTTCATACCACCATTGTCTTCTACTTCTTCGTTAATGTACAATTCTTTGTGTCCTCGTTGACTCTCTTCAGGAATTCGAGATAAGCTATAGTTGAAAATAGATAATATGACCTTTTTATTATGTTATGTGACAAGAAGAAAGTCAATGATTGAATATGGTGTGGGCACATCCATCGTGTACAATTTCCATCCCGTTGTTGCTAAGTTGTAGCGCTTGAAAATGAGGTGATGTAGGAAAACGTTTCCGTATCACTCTTTAATAATTGACTTTTATACATCGCACAGACCTGAACGATGTTTTGAGACTGTTTCACACACGTACCTGTGGCTGAATATTGCGTGGTTATTACAAACACTTCGACTCAGTTTCGAAAACTGAAGAAGATTCTGATAGTTCAGTTTTGAAATGTGTATTTATACTTTGTTGTTGTTCATACCGACTTTTTAACTATGAATCCCCCTCCGCTTACAACCGTCGAGCCTCCGATATCCACATGAACTATCAAAATGTAAAAAAAAATCCTAAATTCTGCAGTCAATTAATTCAAAACGACTATTTGAAATGGCTTTTCGGTAAAATGTCGCTATGCCCAATATCACATTATATCTATACATGGCATTGTTATCAGAAAAATACGCATTTCAAAATTGAAATACCAAAATTTTCTCCACCTCGAAGTGAAATAACAATGCTGTATTTAGACGAAGGTACTGTGTGCTATATAAAAAAGTCAGACAAGAGCGACATGGCAATGTTTTATTACCTCACCTCGTTTTCAAAATCTTCTACTTGCAGTCCCCGATGCTCACGTCTTAGAAACCCCCAGATCGAGGTTGTGTACGATGAAATATGAACTATTCATAGATACTGAATAACTTCAATATCATGGAAGACAAGTGGCATGTGGGTGGACATGTTACAATCAGACGTCGAAAGAATTTTACTGTCGTATGAGGTGTCCAATGAAGACAAAAATGGCCAGGACAGGGCCATACACATGTCTAGAACCCCAAAATATAAATCGACGATATTCAATTAACAAATTATTTCTAAACCCAAAGATGGTTTCAAAATTAAACTTTTAGCTTATTTCCCCTTTGTGAGCCCAACTTCATCCTCCACATCCCGTCCCAATGAGTCAAATTGATATTATTAATTAAAAACAGTGATTGTAATCCAAAATGATGTTTCAAAACTAATTTGGTTGAAATTCACTAATTGTATTAGGAAGAGCAACTTTCAAAAGCAAAGTGTTCCTTCCATACTTAATTCCAATCTGTCCCTAGTTTTCGAATCAGTCTCACTTATTGACCAAATGGTTGCTCTACCCGAGTGATGTTTCAGGCCAAAGTTGATTGAAATCTACCTAGACATAAGTTTATATCAAATCTTCCCATTTCAGAAATAATTGCTCTCTACAAATCATGTCTCAGACCAAATTTGGTTGAAATCCGCTCTAACGTATTTCAAACCATGCTGAGAATTATCTAAACATTGCGAAATGCTGCATGCATAACGTGACTTTTAAGGAGTATGACAATGATCTAAATACCAATTAACGCTGTCAATCCTGTTCACTAAAAAGAACTTACGAGTGCTTCCAGTTCCCGTATCCTTGAGTCCTTCCACAGCCTGCCTTCTATCATTCCTCTGTGAAGGTCTTTTAATGTACCTGTGATTGACAGAAATTGTTTCCAACGAAGACGAAATCATATGAGCGTTACTTAAATTCTCATTTTATAATATTCGATTTTGGTCTCGCATAATGTTCTTATTATACAAACGTACTGATCATGACTGTATACTTACTGATCTACCTTCTTCATGTGCAAATTCCTGAAATTCCTTATTGCATCAATACACTTGTTGTAGGCCAGTTGGACATCATCATTTTCACATTGGTCCACTAGATCGAAAATAATTTCACAATAAGTTTATCATAATTATACATAAAGGATATTGAATACTTTCCCGATTCAGATAGTTCTGTTAAATATATATGATATACAACAGGAAATGTTTTTTTAAAAAATATATTTGAAAGCAAAATATTATGACAGTTTAAACGCTTGACAATAAGACATCGCTATAAAATTTATCACTATAATTATGTTTCTACCAATCATGTGGTGTTGTTATATGCTAAACTGAACCACGATATGAATTTAAAGAAAACACTCAATGTAAGCAGCAACGCTGTCGTACAGATTGATAAAAGATTTCAGTTTTTTTTATCAAATTGATATAGTCCTAAATATCATTGGTAAAAATGTAATGATACAGGGAATTTATAGATTCGTCTGTTGTTCAATTACAATCTGCATTTCAATGATAAATTACGGAAGAGCATTCTAACCCAATCTTAAGCTTTTCTTTCGAATGCTATATAATGCTATTAAGACTCCCATGTCTCTTCTCATGCAATGATAAACATTATGCAGACCCGTTTAGATAATAAAAATGAAGAAATTAAAGGTTCAAATAAAACAGTAAACGAGCACAGGCTGCCGGTAGGAGTGTGCAGCCAAGTTATATTTTACCATCGAAATTTAAAAACGATTTAAAGTCAGGAAATACTGCATTTTATCACAGTCAGTCATGGATTTAGTGAGACATGAAGAAAGATATATGGCATTACCGTATTTTCTTATGTTGCTGTTTTCCTCCACAACATCACAGAAGTCACGATGTTCTTTCATCATGTAGTCCCTCACTTCGTCAAGGAAGTTCTTTTGATCTGTAGAAGTATAATACTTTTTCATATTTTTGTTATATGTTTTCTCACTATTGAACATAAAGCATGATCAAACAGCAAGCTCTGTTTACTTGAAAGCGGTTTACAACAAAACAACGATATGACGTAACGATTTTATGTGACCGAGGAAATACATCATTTATGGTATAAACAATTGATACATATTTTTTAACACAAAAAACTATTTTTTCTAAAGCAATTAACGCAAACATCTAAACAAGGTTTTTTCTGAATAATATTTTTAGAGCGAAAGTGTGGCTTTAAAAGAGTCACGAAAACTTCATTTGGACATTAATTGACAATCCAACCTGCTGAGTCTCAACCTTTAGGAACAACCATAGCTAACACCTGAATAAAATCTTGTTGGATTGTCATTAACCAGGCAATGTAATTACCATACTCGAGGAGCAATGAATAAACAATTACTTTTGCCTTTGTTAACCACTTATAATGGACTCTAGTTTTGTAAGCCCGAAAGTTGATCACAAACTTACATGATCTCGATTTAAATCTAAAACTTCATTTGTCCAGACATAGTTAACGAACTAGCCCTAGTGCCCTAGGTATATCACTTAGGTGAACATGACCATTGCAACACAATAAGATAGTAACATCATTCATGGCTGATTCCCAGACCATGTCTAGAATAAAATGAATGCATGCATAGACGTCATTCATGGCTGATTCCCAGACCATGTCTAGAATAAAATGAATGCATGCATAGACGTCATTCATGGCTGATTCCCAGACCATGTCTACAGTAAAAAAAATGTATCGTTCTCCTTCATGGATGATTTCCAGACTATGTCTACCATAAAAACTGTATATACCTCCTTCACGGGTGATTCCCAGACCATCTCTGCAATGTAACAAGATTCATACCTCCTTCATGTTTAATGCCTAATGCTGCGTCTAGTAACTGTAGAGTTGTACTTTGAGCAGCACTTCCTCCTTTCATCTGCAATCGTATAGGTTATATTTGATATGGGCATGTGCTGATATGATCAATTCAAAAGAAATATCATTTGTTATTGTATTACTTTTTAAATATGAGTTCATATTCACAGACCATGGTATTATCTTCCTAATAAAACATTATGTATCTGTACCAACTGATCAATTAATACAAAACTATTAACCAACCGTTTTGGGTTTGTCTCCATAAACGCCTTTATAAATCAATCCATCAGGAAGTGGATTCCTCCCATTGCCCCAACTACAAAATTGTTTAATTAAGAAAATTAAATAAATTTTACCATCTCGTTTTAAAATACATGCAAATACATAAAACCAAAACAAACAAATACCATATCTAATATATACTCGTGTTTTAAATTACATTATCAATTAGATTGTAATCCCGCGATCAATACACTTCTTAATCTTTATAACAAACATTGGGTGAGAATTTTACGATATCGACAGCATCAACTGCAGGGTCAATACAGCTTTTCGGTGTATTAAATATGTATAATACGAATACAGTTTTGTGTATAAAATGTATATCTTTTTCGCAATTAGAATTACCATTGTATGGGAAAAATACTCTTTACACACCATATATCAGTTACATATACTGACCCCGAGTAGAAAATTCGCAGCTCATCATAGAAATGTTCCGGCTGTACCCCGTCTGTAAACATGATAAATCCTGTTTCGTTAAACTTCTGGTTTCGATTGAAAACTTTCCTTGTTATTAAATTGGATAAGTATGTAAACGCATATGGAATAAAAACATTCATAGTTGAAAGAACATTGGTTTATCTTTACTTCTCTTATACAATACATCTTCGGTTATTAATGCAGTTACATTTGATTTATTTATAAATATATCTTGGAACAGGCATTATCATTACCGCTGGTTTTAGTGAAAACGATTACCAGTTGTGGTGCTACCCTATAATATTTGCAATGAGTGGTTTCAAGAATAAAAGAAATCTAAAGATTTGTGTACAGCTATGCACAAAATATATCGACACTGTCTCAGAGTATCGACTAGGAATTGTATTTCCTAAATGTAACGATATATGATATTTGAAGTGCAAGAATAAGGAACTAACCATTGATTTTAGTGAACGTATACATCATTTCCGACATCACTTTTGGTATGTTTCTGAGAGCTTCAACCAATTTGGCGTTATCCTCACTGCCTGGTGACGAATGCTTCATGGCCTCGACAATAGCCTACGGTGCAGACTACATGCTTTAACTACATGTATATAGGACAGTTTACATAATTTTCACACTGACGATAACTCAAAGACCTATGACATATCCTTTCACAAAATTGTTGACGGTAGTTTACTACACAGAATACAAATACCAGATACTTTAATATATAGCATAAATGACAAGGCTTAAATAGATATGGAAATAAGGAAGAAAGAAAGAAAGAAAGAAAGAAAGAAGAAAGAATCAATCAATAAAGAGAGAAAGAAAGAAAGAAGAAATCAAGAAAGACAGAAAGAAAGATAGAAAGAAAGAAATCAATAAAGAAAGAAAGAAAGAAATCAAGAAAGAAAGAAAGAAAGAAAGAAAGAAAGAAAGAAAGAAAGACAGAAATTAAGGAAGACAGAAAGAAAGAAAGAAGAAATCAAGAAAGACAGAAAGAAAAGAAAGAAAGAAGAAATCAAGAAAGACAGAAAGAAGAAATCAAGAAAGAAAGAAAGAAGAAATCAAGAAAGACAGAAAGAAAGAAAGAAAGAAAGAAGAAATCAAGAAAGACAGAAAGAAAGAAAAAAAGAAGAAATCAAGAAAGACAGAAAGAAAAGAAAGAAAGAAGAAATCAAGAAAGACAGAAAGAAGAAATCAAGAAAGAAAGAAAGAAGAAATCAAGAAAGACAGAAAGAAAGAAAAAAAGAAAGAAAGAAGAAATTAAGGAAGACAGAAAGAAAGAAAGAAGAAATCAAGAAAGACAGAAAGAAAGAAAGAAAGAAAGAAAGAAAGAAGAAATTAAGAAAGACAGAAAGAAAGAAAGAAAGAAAGAAAGAAATCAAGAAAGACAGAAAGAAAGAAAGAAAGAAGAAATCAAGAAAGACAGAAAGAAAGAAAGAAAGAAGAAATCAAGAAAGACAGAAAGAAGAAATCAAGAAAGAAATCAAGAAAGAAATCAAGAAATCAAGAAAGACAGAAAGAAAGAAAGAAAGAAAGAAGAAATCAAGAAAGACAGAAAGAAAGAAAGAAAGAAGAAATCAAGAAAAACAGAAAGAAAGAAAGAAAGAAGAAATCAAGAAAGACAGAAAGAAGAAATCAAGAAAGAAATCAAGAAAGAAATCAAGAAATCCAGAAATCAAGAAAGAAAGAAGAAATCAAGAAAGAAAGAAAGAAGAAATCAAGAAAGAAATCAAGAAACAAAGAAAGAAACAAAGAAAGAAGAAATCAAGAAATCAAGAAACAAAGAAAGAAGAAATCAAGAAAGAAAAGATCGTTATGTTAACATTATTGTATTAACAAATCTTTACTTGATATCAATAAAATAAATGCAAAATATTAAAAAAACTTCGAAGAAAAAATGCCAGGTGTTCCGGGAAAGTACGTGTCTTTTGATTCTTCTGAGTCACTTAAAGTAAACAAAAACGCGTTCTCAAATGAGAAGTAAGAGGTCAGTCAACGTGGTTACAAAATTGAGATAATTTCCTAGACTATGCTAATGTGAACAAACTGATTGTAAAATGTTGTTTCCTAAATAATTATCCCTCATCTTCTAGTTGTGCAAGATATTAGGTAAGGGCAATTGTACATTTTTAATCAGATATAGATATGGATATATATTTCTTCCATGAGTGTAAACTCGGGTCAAAACCAGGGCTTTTGAAGTTGACTCATTTCTTCCAATCATACCAGTGAACTCGTTAAAATGACGTTGAATAGCAAACAGCAGTTTAGCTCTAATCAACAACATATCTTGGGATATGATATATATGTAGTAGTCTAAGAATTATAACGCAAAAGTAAAAATAAAAATACTCTGTAATAAGCTGTCTGATTGAACTAGCATGGCCAATGAAATAAGATAGTAGAAATGTTAGACTATGTAGACATTTTTTTTTTTATATAATTTTGGCTTTAACAGTTTCACATCTGATACACAGTATGGAATTGATGTGTATTGCAGGACGTTTTAAATTTCACCAAACATTGATATCTTTTCTTAATTATGTTGAATATATTTCTTGAACTTGATATAAATACTTCCTCACGGATTTACAGTCTGCAACATACCAATCTACATGTGGAAAAGGATTGTAAAATGTGTGTTCTGTATACATGTACAGGTTTCTAAAAACTAGCATAGCAAACCGTGTATAATATAGCCGCAAAAATGACATTAAAATGAAATTGAATGCGACGTTACCTTTTCATGTATCTGAGATCAATAGTTATAGAGGAGTTCCTGATTTTGCCAATAATTATCCAGTCTGTTTTTAAATATATTTAGAAATTTCGATATATCAACGTAATAAATTTATTTATGAACTACCTTGTAGAGTTAAAACCGGCTGATGGACTGTCAAGGCTTCTCCGTTATCAGTATGAATAAGGAGATCAAGGCAGAAATAGCCTTTCCCATCACTGATTCAATAGAGGTAGTACACACAGATAGGTAAAGATTATATAAGATAATGTCAGATATCTGTAGAGCAATACTTACGTCTAGGGCAGGTGCAAATCTCTGTTCGATAATGACATGAGTAACGATAAACCATTCCGCACCATCACCTCCCGGTGTCCAATACATGGCATTTACATTTCTGGAAAGTTAAAACGACTTTTGAAAAACCTGAAGGAACTTTACTGGTGCCATAAAAAGCTAACACACTTCGGAATGTTTAAAAAACAAATAAAGAGCTGTCTTTGACTAAAGAGGAAGAAATTATCAATAAGTTCAAAAATGAAACGCAACAATTGCGATCTCATCTCTTCTAATGGTTAACAAATCATTATCCGATATAAGATATCCCAAATCCATTTGCAATTCAGTTTGCGTTACCAAATTCATAAGAAACACATGTAACCATACTTTTGATCCCATTATTTGTGTTTGTTTTAAATCCAGTGTATCGGTCGTGTTGCATTCGACAGGATATCGATTGTTCCAATTTATTATTCTGTTTTCACGAGATACTATTTTTGCCTATTTTTATAAAAGATCATTTATTGTTTAAATATGAATTGATTACTTACCCGAATTCGAATGGCCTGGGTCATGGAAATGAAACAAAGAAGACTTATGTTAGGAGAAAATAAACTATATAGTTGAAATGTTACGAACATTCGACAACATCAAAGTCATGCAATAGTATACGATATCTTAATTTATGTTGGCACTGTAAGTGTACATACTTATCAACATTTTTCATCTTCCAGTTTCCTAAAATCATGCTTGGGTAGCTTAGGATTGGCTGAACACCAAGAGCATCTGAGACGCGTGTTAGTGGCTTTGACAAACACCATGGAAGTTCCTGTGATGAAAAATCTGGTATAAGTTCAGAGATTTTGTCACCATACTTTGTTTTTTAGTTCATTTTGTAGGACAACTTTACATGAGATTATCGAAGATAACCCGGGAAGATAGATGTAAAAATAATGTGTGTATCTGTCAAATATTGTACAGAAGACAAACAATTAAATAGCAGCTTTTTACACAACGTTAGAGTTACAGAACGGTTCTGTAGAAACTGGAGCTCGTCAGTGAAGCTAAGGGTTTTCAGTCTGAGAGATTGTACAAGACATACAAGTGAATAGCACCTCTTAATATTTAGAGTCAGATACAGTATAGTCGAAGAAACTTCTAAGTGGTCGGAAGAAAGGTCAAAACCTCTTTGGAGAGGCGCACTAGCACCATAATTGGACAAATGTCGTAATTTTGATATATATTTCATATTAATTATGTATATTTAGAAAACAAGCCATTATTCACTATCGTCCTGCATTATAAGCATACAATATGGTTACCCTTAATTTACACGAAACGATTTCATTAGTTGTGTCGATGTAAGCAGGAACACATTTTTGTTTGTTTCAAGATAGGCAACAAGTCAGGCTAAGCAACATTGCACCGTTGTTCACCTCTTACTTCTATCTTTAGGATAAGCGAGTACATCATACATCATTTTTCTTCACCAAACGATAAGAGAAAGATTTGAAAATTATTTTTGCTGAAATTATCTAACGTCAACAGATATTTCGTACAAGTATATGAATACATTCTGTCTTTATAAGAAGAATCACATCCATGTCAGACTCTGGTACATCATAACTGACTTTCTCCTACAAACCTTAGGAACGTCTTCCTCTCCGTCCTGCCAAATATATCCACTGGTTAAGAACGTTAGTATCTTGTGTAGGACAAGTTGCTGTCGCTTTTCTTTCGGTATATCATGATCTCCATTTAGCTGCAAATAAACAAAACATGCGTTGTTTTTGGCATATGACATAAGCAATCAATCTTTGACTGTTGAAGCATAATGACTGACGTCAGGACTATGACATGAGGACTATATCATGAGGACAATAAAATGGTATTTATATCATGTCGACTACTATGTACATGTCGTTATTTATCCCTGTCACAACACCCTATATATAGCTGGACTATATCATGAGGACTAATACATGGTGACTATATCATGGGGACAAAATCATGAGGACTATAACACGGGGACTATATAATGAGGACTATTACTCGAGGACTATATCATGAGGATTATGACATGAGGACTATATCATGAAGACTATAACGCGGGGCCGATATCATGAGGACTATAACATGGGGACTATATCATGAGGACTATAACATGGGGACTATAGCATGAAGACTATAACATGGGGACTATATCATGAGGACTATAACGCGGGGCCGATATCATGAGTGCTATAACGCGGGGCCGATATCATGAGGACTATAACATGGGGACTATATCATGAGGAATATAACATGGGGACTATAGCATGAAGACTATAACATGGGGACTATATCATGAGGACTATAACGCGGGGCCGATATCATGAGGACTATATCATGGGGACTATATCATGAAGACTATAACGCGGGGCCGATATCATGAGGACTATAACGCGGGGCCGATATCATGAGGACTATAACATGGGGACTATATCATGAAGACTATAACGCGGGGCCGATATCATGAGGACTATAACATGGGGACTATAGCATGAGGACTATAGCATGAGGACTATAACATGGTGACTATATCATGAGGACTATAGCATGAGGACTATAACATGGGGACTATAGCATGAGGACTATAACATGGGGACTATAGCATGAAGACTATAACGCGGGGCCGATATCATGAGGACTATAACGCGGGGCCGATATCATGAGGACTATAACGCGGGGCCGATATCATGAGGACTATATAATGGAGACTATATTATGAGGACTATAACATGGTGACTATATTATAAGGACTATAACATAGGGACTATATTATGAGGACTATAACATGGGGACTATATCATGAAGACTATAACATGGGGACTATATCATGAAGACTATAACGCGGGGCCGATATCATGAGGACTATATAATGGGGACTATATCATGAAGACTATAACATGGTGACTATATTATAAGGACTATAACATAGGGACTATATTATGAGGACTATAACATGGGGACTATATCATGAAGACTATAACATGGGGACTATATCATGAAGACTATAACGCGGGGCCGATATCATGAGGACTATAACATGGGGACTATAGCATGATGACTATAACATGGGGACTATATCATGAGGACTATAACGCGGGGCCGATATCATGAGGACTATAACACAGGGACTATATCATGAGGACTATATCATTAGGACTATAACACGGGGATTATATCATGAAGACTATAACACGGGGACTATATCATGTCACAAAAGTGCAAAAACATATTAAACATTGGTACATGGTGATTATTTGGGTCCCGATCACACCAGCTGTTCGACACCCTAAACATTGGAACCTGATGATTGTTTTTGTCCCTATCACACCAGCGGTACGACACCCTAAACATTGGTACATGGTGAATTTTACCCTATCGCAATAGCGGTACAACACCCTAAACATTGATACAGAGTGATTTTTTTAATCCTCCCACAACAGTGTTACGACACCCTTAGCATTGGTGCATGTTAATTTTTAACCCTACCACAACAGCAGTGCGACACCCTAAATGATATTTTTTAAATAAAACATCCTGAGAGGTCATTAATGTATACATTAAATATGTTACATGTACCATTCATCTGTAATAATATATATATCAGACACTGAAGTGATATCACACATCCTTGAAAGTGATATCAAACCCCTCTATTTTTTTTATATTTCGTTCATTGCGCATATCGCTGTCTGATTTGAACATAAATATTGTTCGTATGAGAGAAGTGTGTTTTTATTCCCTCTTTTTCTGATAAAAATAATTTAGAATTTCGCTCAAATGTCTGCATGGTGCCGTTTCCGGATTGCTTTTCCTTGTTAGTAATACAAGTGCTGCTGTCTTCCGTGAATGGTAATAACTAAACATGGGGACTAATTTTAAAAGACTGTAAAGTTGGGTGATTTAAAGAAAAAAATTATAAAAAAAGATTACCATATGTGTATCTTGATATCACGCCCCTTATCAGACCAAGAGTCCTGATATCAGTCACAGGGACATACTCTTGGGATGATAAGGGGAGTAATATCAGTCACAGGGACATACTCTTGGGGTGATAAGGGGAGTGATATCAGTCAGAGGGCCTTACTCTTGGGGTGATAAGGGGAGTAATATCAGTCAGAGGGCCTTACTCTTGGGGTGATAAGGGGAGTAATATCAGTCAGAGGGCCTTACTCTTGGGGGTGATAAGGGGAGTAATATCAGTCAGAGGGCCTTACTCTTGGGGTGATAAGGGGAGTAATATCAGTCAGAGGGCCTTACTCTTGGGGTGATAAGGGGAGTAATATCAGTCAGAGGGCCTTACTCTTGGGGTGATAAGGGGAGTGATATCAGTCAGAGGGCCATACTCTTGGGGTGATAAGGGGAGTAATATCAGTCAGAGGGCCTTACTCCTGGGGTGACAAGGGGAGTGATATCAGTCAGAGGGCCTTACTCTTGGGGTGATAAGGGGAGTAATATCAGTCACAGGAACATACTCTTGGGGTGATAAGGGGAGTAATATCAGTCAGAGGGCCTTACTCTTGGGATGATAAGGGGAGTGATATCAGTCAGAGGGCCTTACTTTTGGGTGCTAAGGGGAGTAATATCAGTAACAGGGCCTTACACTTGGGGTGATAAGAGGAGTAACATCAGTCAGAGGGACATACTCTTGGGGTGATAAGGGGAGTGATATCAGTCAGAGGGCCTTACTCTTGGGATGCTAAGAGGAGTGATATCAGTCAGAGGGCCTTACTCTTGGGGTGATAAGGGGAGTAATATCAGTCAGAGGGCCTTACTTTTGGGGTGATAAGGGGAGTAATATCAGTCAGAGGGCCTTACTCTTGGGGTGATAAGGGGAGTGATATCAGTCAGAGGGCCTTACTCTTGGGGTGATAAGGGGAGTAATATCAGTCACAGGGCCTTACTCTTGGGGTGACAAGGGGAGTGATATCAGTCAGAGGGCCTTACTCTTGGGGTGATAAGGGGAGTAATATCAGTCACAGGAACATACTCTTGGGGTGATAAGGGGAGTAATATCAGTCAGAGGGCCTTACTCTTGGGATGATAAGGGGAGTGATATCAGTCAGAGGGCCTTACTTTTGGGTGCTAAGGGGAGTAATATCAGTAACAGGGCCTTACACTTGGGGTGATAAGAGGAGTAATATCAGTCAGAGGGCCTTACTCTTGGGGTGATAAGGGGAGTAATATCAGTCAGAGGGCCTTACTCTTGGGGTGATAAGGGGAGTGATATCAGTCAGAGGGCCTTACTCTTGGGATGATAAGGGGAGTGGTATCAGTCAGAGGGCCTTACTCTTGGGGTGATAAGGGGAGTGATATCAGTCAGAGGGCCTTACTCTTGGGATACTAAGAGGAGTGATATCAGTCAGAGGGACATACTCTTGGGATGCTAAGAGGAGTGATATCAGCAAGAGGGTCTTACTCTTGGGTTGATAAGGGGAGTGATAGCAGTCAGAGAGCCTTACAAGTGGGATGTTGAGGGGAGTGATATCAGTCAGAGGGACATACTCTTGGGGTGATAAGGGGAGTAATATCAGTCAGAGGGCCTTACTCTTAGGGTGATAAGGGGAGTAATATCAGTCAGAGGGCCTTACTCTTGGGGTGATAAGGGGAGTGATATCAGTCAGAGGGCCTTACTCTTGGGATGATAAGGGGAGTGGTATCAGTCAGAGGGCCTTACTCTTGGGGTGATAAGGGGAGTGATATCAGTCAGAGGGCCTTACTCTTGGGATACTAAGAGGAGTGATATCAGTCACAGGGACATACTCTTGGGGTGATAAGGGGAGTAATATCAGTCACAGGGCCTTACTCTTGGGGTGATAAGGGGAGTGATATCAGTCAGAGGGCCTTACTCTTGGGGTGATATGGGGAGTAATATCAGTCAGAGGGACATACTCTTGGGTTGATAAGGGGGGTAATATCAGTCAGAGGGACATACTCTTGGGATAAAAAGGGGAGTAATATCAGTCACAGGGCCTTACTCTTGGGATGATAAGGGGAGTAATATCAGTCAGAGGGCCTTACTCTTGGGGTGATAAGGGGAGTAATATCAGTCACAGGGACATACTCTTGGGGTGATAAGGGGAGTAATATCAGTCAGAGGGACATACTCTTGGGGTGATAAGGGGAGTAATATCAGTCAGAGGGACATACTCTTGGGATGATAAGGGGAGTAACATCAGTCAGAGGGACATACTCTTGGGGTGATAAGGGGAGTAATATCAGTCACAGGGACATACTCTTGGGGTGATAAGGGGAGTAATATCAGTCAGAGGGACATACTCTTGGGGTGATAAGGGGAGTAATATCAGTCAGAGGGACATACTCTTGGGATGCTAAGAGGAGTAACATCAGTCAGAGGGACATACTCTTGGGGTGATAAGGGGAGTGATATCAGTCAGAGGGCCTTACTCTTGGGATGCTAAGAGGAGTGATATCAGTCAGAGGGACATACTCTTGGGATGCTAAGAGGAGTGATATCAGCAAGAGGGTCTTACTCTTGGGTTGATAAGGGGAGTGATAGCAGTCAGAGACCCTTACAAGTGGGATGTTGAGGGGAGTGATATCAGTCAGAGGGACATACTTTTGGGGTGATAAGGGGAGTAATATCAGTCAGAGGGCCTTACTCTTAGGGTGATAAGGGGAGTAATATCAGTCAGAGGGACATACTCTTGGGGTGATAAGGGGAGTAATATCAGTCACAGGGCCTTACTCTTGGGGTGATAAGGGGAGTGATATCAGTCAGAGGGCCTTACTCTTGGGATGCTAAGAGGAGTGATATCAGTCAGAGGGACATACTCTTGGGATGCTAAGAGGAGTGATATCAGCAAGAGGGTCTTACTCTTGGGTTGATAAGGGGAGTGATAGCAGTCAGAGACCCTTACAAGTGGGATGTTGAGGGGAGTGATATCAGTCAGAGGGACATACTTTTGGGGTGATAAGGGGAGTAATATCAGTCAGAGGGCCTTACTCTTAGGGTGATAAGGGGAGTAATATCAGTCAGAGGGACATACTCTTGGGGTGATAAGGGGAGTAATATCAGTCACAGGGCCTTACTCTTGGGGTGATAAGGGGAGTGATATCAGTCAGAGGGCCTTACTCTTGGGGTGATAAGGGGAGTAATATCAGTCAGAGGGTCTTACTCTTGGGGTGATAAGGGAAGGGATATCAGCAAGAGAGTCTTACTCTTGGGTTGATCAAGGGAGAAATATCAGTCACAGGGCCTTACTCTTGGGGTGATAAGGGGAGTGATAAAAGTCAGAGAGCCTTACACGTGGGATGTTAAGGGGCGTGATATCAGTCAGAGGGACATACTCTTGGGGTGATAAGGGAAGGGATATCAGGCAAGGGGACATAATCTTAGGTTGATAAGGGGAGTAATATCAAAATAGTCATATAACAATCTCTGTATTCATTATAGGATACATTCCACTTGTAAGCGTGGATTAGAGTTTTGTTAATAATATATTAAACAGACTGACCTTGAGAACCGTTTCCCGTATTGATTTTTTTTCCACGTGCTCGGTCAGTTGTTTTGCAGCTTGTTCAAATGGGCTCCAACAAATTGGGAGATTGACCTGTAGTTAAGAAAATACCTTATAGATCCAATGTTTTCTCTGAATAAAATCAAATCTTTACACTACTTTATTTTTTGCAGTTTGAAATGACAAAGTTTTATATTATTTCTTTGTTAATAACGCACATAATGTACTTTTATCAGTTTAGTCAACTTTATAGGCAGTTGTTTTGTGCAAACAATTCTTTTCAGATTTATACACTTTTGATAAAAGATATCAACAGAATTCTCTCTGCGTTATTTAGAACGTTTTTCGAGTATAACTTGGAGGCGTCTGTAATAGTAAAACTTTTATCGATAAATGATGAACATACTTGCGAACAGTCAACAAGGAATCCATTCTTCCAGGAAACCAAATATTTCTCCTCAATTTGCTCCTGTGTAAGTTTAAGAAATTCGGATGATGCACCTGAAATTAGCATACCTTTAGCATTACTGTTAGTTGTTTAAACCCTGTCAGTGACTGTAAACAATACAAACACCACTGTAACATCCTTAGGTAGGTTTGAAGGATGAACGTGAGTTATATATAGTAAACGATAGTGACAAGAAACAGCAAACAAAGCAGAATCGAATTGAACGGGTACATCTAGAGAGGGAGCGGAGGTGACCCGCACGGGTATATGGAGGAAGAGAAAGTGTCTAACGGAGAAGATTGTACAAAAAACATTCACGTGAATAACACCTTTAAATACAAAGGGTTAGATACACTAGAGTCACATATTAAACTGCTTCATAAAGCTGTTTCGTCCTTCTAGTCCTTCAATGATGTTTGGGGCCTAAATTTTGAAGCCTATGACGCGAACAAAAAAAATCCAAAGTGATCGGGAAAAAGTCAAACTCTAGATATAGAGGTGCGCATATCTCATGATTCCAGAACAACAGTGCCACTTTTGTAATGAATTAAAACGTGGCATGCAGGTTACGGCAAAACTTTTTAATTAAAAGGAAGTAAGACACTGAATATCAGAAAGATTTGAGACAATTTTCCAACTTCCAGCATACCCGTCCACTCGTGAAATAGAATCACTTTTGTCACATTAACATGAAATAGTAACGCGTACTTTGGTCATATGTGAGTCTTCAGTCATTGGTTTAATTTCCTGGTATTGAACTTTCAATATAATTGAACTAGCTACCGTTACTTGATATGAACGTGCGCTTGGAGATTATTGAAACAGGGAAGAACAATATAGTACACAATGAACATAGAGATCATTTATCGCAAAAATAATCAACGGAGGCAAATTTAATATCCACTCTAAAAACAGTACAAATGTATTGCTAGAAACGACAACAATCTTACGGATTTCCTTATGAAATATTGACAGAGATTTTCATGAGATTTGCTATATTCGTGCGAATTTAATCGCATACAATATTGCACCAAATGACACGTAACTTATTTACTTTCACAGCAGCATAACCTACAGATGTATGCATATCGTGTACAATGTGCAGTTAGGTATTTTTTTTTATTATAATCAGTTTTTAACAAATACTTGATGAAGTCAGAATGAAAGATGTGCCCCTTTTGATGTGTATGCCACCTGTGGCTTTAAGTTTTCCTGACCAAGCTGTTTTGTGTAACAAACAAAAGCTATTTGGTGTTATTTATTTCTTCCTGACCTCATCAGAAAGTTATGTAGATGTTTGCGTGCACAGTGACGAGTTAATTATTGGATCAATGTAATTGAAATGTAATTGGACGTTTCCGTTTATGAGAATTTTACATGCATTTCTGAATAATATTTATCAAGGAGAATTATTTATATCCTTCACCCACAGTTTACCGGCTACAAAAAAGTGATATACTAATCGAGCTGGAAAAAAATCTGGCTGTGTTGTACCTTTCAAGAACTCATAAAGAATGTGCTCGCCTTACTTTAAAGTCTCTTGCCTGTATGACTAGTTTGGTGACATTTTCTGACAAATACTGTGATTCATGTTACACATTACCAATTCAATCATTTTTGCTAGTGCGATATTAAATAATACGTATATTCATAATGTAGATGTACTGTTTAATCATGATGAGTATTTCATTATCAATCCTGCTGTTTTTGTTTGTTTGGTGTTTTTTTTTTTTTTTTTGCATTTTGTGTTAGAAATCCAAAAATATATCCTTCTTCGGTGAAATTAAAGGGAATATAGAAAACATTTGCATAGTAAAAATCACCCTTTAAGAGGAGAGATACAAACATGCCTTATTAGTTAGTGGAGTGAGCATTAGAGATCTTCACTGGTTCAGGGTTCTTGATGTAGAACAAATCTGTCACCAATGTTACTATCAAGGACGCCCCAATTGAATTACCTGATAGCTTTCTATACAAAGCACTGTCAGAGTACGGCCATCCAATACAGGGCAGCTTGAAAAGAGGAAAAATCAAAGGAACTGACATAGAGACAGGAACAAGATATATACAGCTTGTGAATGCTAAAAATATTATTCCTAGAGAAACAACATTTGGGCGATTCAAAGTCAGAATGTTTGCTGACAACAACAGAACAGAGTGTATTTACTGTGGTCAAACTAACCATCCTTTTTACAAGTGCCCGAGACTAAAAAGGATTACCTGCTCAGGTAAGGACAAAAATAGCACAAAACGTCAGCGAACAGGTGAACCTCTACCGGAGAGTTGGGCTCACGGCGGGGAAAATATTATGTCAATCAAAGGAAGATGGCATTAACAATACTTTAGAGGAGATTAGAGAGAAAACTAATCCCGAAAATTACTCATATAATTGACCACAAGCTCAATCTACACCAATGCCAAAACCCGCGGAAAATTCTAACATAACAGCAGTTATTCTTGGGGCTTCAAACTGCAAAAGAATGTGTATTGACAATCCAAACACAAAGACAAGTCCTGTGTTACTACCACTAGCGATCAGGAGCTCCTTGATATGGCTGGTCGTGACAAGGACGTAAATACCGATGATATTCAGGAGGTTTTTTTAGTACTAGGAACAAATGATGTGTCCGACAATAAAAGTGATGCTGAAACTGTTGAAATTTCTTTACCAAAGCTGCAGACAGTATTAGTGCTTTCTTCCCAAACGTGCATGTGTACATTTTCAGTATAATACCAAGGAGAGGACAGTCCAAATATATTGAAACCTTAAACAATAAAGCAAAGTCGGTGAACTCTTTCATGCAGAAATGGTGCAAAAATGTTAAGCGAGTGAGTTACTTAGAAATAGACAAATTATTCCTAAATAAGGATGTCCCCATCAAAAGGCTCTACGACCTGAATGACACACAGGCGATTCACATTAGTTCTCAGGGAGCTGAAATGATCGTAGCATCCTATAAGGGAATCTTAGCACAAAGTAGCAAGCGAAACCGTAGTGATACTTCACTCGATAATCCTCCAGATGCTAAACAAGTTGGATTTGGTGAGAAATCAGTTGAAACATTATTAATTTTTTAATGTTTGTGAATATTTTCTCTTTCCAATGATCTTCTATGGCTCTTTCACTATATACCATTTATGTTAATGGTCTTAATAATTCTGAAAAATGAAGAAATTTATTCTATTGGTTTCATAGAATTCAAGCAGAAATTATTTTATGCCAGGAAGTTCACTGTGGGGATGGAAATACCATGTTTAAATGGAAAAGGGAGTGAACGGAGAATATTTTTTCTCAAGAGGTTCCTCTTCTAGAGGGGTTGTAATATTATTCAAATGGAGTTTAAAGTTAAATCAAGTACATGGTGAAACTGATAAAGATGGTAGATATATCATTCCTTATTTTGAGCTTGATAATTCCAACATAACATTATGCAACATATATGCCCCGAATGATACTAAAAGTAAACACAAACATTTTTTTTTTAAAAACAATAAAACAGAAACTGTCGACTGAAAGATATAGAAATAGTTTCATTATCATAGGCAGAGATTGTATTTGTGTTCTTAAAAAGAATTTAGACGGAGAAATAACTGTACATCAGATGGAGTAGAGGGCGGGAAGTTAGAACTCAATAATTTAATTCAATCACTACAATTAGAGGAAGTTTGGAGAAGGAGAAACTTAGACAAAATACGCTTCACATTTAGGAGAAGTAATAAACAATCGAGAATAGACAATTTTTTTAATTTCTTCCTCTTCAGACAGTAAAGTGACTAAAACCAGTATAAAATTTAGTCCCTTTACAAAAGATGACCATTATGGCGTGCCTTGTATAACAGTTAACATGTCTAAAGTTAACAGAGGCCCAGGATACAGGAAAATGAACAGCAATGTAATCAAATCTGACATATTTAAAGACATATTTACATTTTTTTAATAATGAATGGAAAAACAAAATAAATAATTTACTTCGATAAAAGAGTGGTGGGAGATTACTAAAACAAAAATAACAGATATCACAATGTTTGTAAGTAAATTACTTAACGCTAAACATAAAAATATTCAACAGCTTGAAAATGAATTAAACAATTGTAATGCTAATCATGAGACAATTCAACATTTAGAAAATCAAATAAGTTCATACTATGAAAACAGGACAAACGCTGCAAAGGTAAGAAGTAGAATAAAATGGTATGAGGAAGGTGAGAAATATACTGCTTATTTTCTGGGTCTTTAGAAGTGTAGAGTACTAAACAAACAGTGGATTTTAATCAAATGTGAAGATGGCGGCTATAAAAATAATATAACTGATATTCTTAAAGAACAAGTGAAGTTTTACAGTAATCTCTTCACGACTGAAGGAAAAGATGTTGATGAAGCAAATATCTTACTACAAAATGTAAATGTATCTATTACAGACGACGTTAAAAATTACCATGAGTAACTGCCTACTGGAAATGAAATGTATTTGTCTGTTAAAAATTTGAAAGCCAATCGATCACCAGGTATTGATGGTATTATTGCTGACTTTTATCAGACTTACTGGAATTTGATAAAGGATCAGTTTATAAATATAGTCATAAATGTATTTGAAACTAGAGAGCTCAATATAAGGGTATGATAACTCTTTTATATAAACAGGGGGAAAGAGAGGATATAAAAAATGGCGCCCAATCACTCTCTTGAACACCGACTATAAAATTATAACAAAAATTATTGCAGAACGTATTAAAAACGAACTGCCAAAATTATTCAGAGCGACCTAAAGGGATTCGTAAAGGGAAGAAACATAGAAGATGTTATTCGTTTAATCAAATATATTATTGAATACTCAAATACAGAAAACAAAGGTGGAAGCATTATTTTCTTAAACCACCAAACAGCATTCGATAGAGTTGAATGGGAATGGGTGGAAATGTGTCTTAAAAAAATTTGGGTTTGGTACACAATTTATTGAATGGATTAAAATGACATACATATATTCGTCTAGTCATATACTTACAAATGGTTTCATTTCAAAACCCTTCAAGCTTTCTCGTTCAGTAAAACAGGGGTGCCCAATAGC